TTTATTGCTCAAGTAGGACCGTTGGAGGAGTCTGCTGTGTGGGTCGATGAAACGCAAACTGTACCTGGTCGAGAGGTAGAAGAACTACCAATTTTGTGAAAACTTAAAATTGACTTTTTCATCTCTCTTCATTGGTTGGGTATTTCTTGTTTTCCTATACGGGTTCAGTTTTCTTGGGTAGTTTTTGGAAGTCTACTATCTATTTTTTCTATTCCGGGAGCTTATAGATTATTTTTTAATTCACAAAGAGAAAATTCATAGAGAATGGTTTTCTCACCTGCAGGCTGTCCGAACTGTAGCTCAAACCACAGAGGAACGAGATGCTCTTGGGCTGAAACCAAAGGCGAAAAAATTGGATCAGGGTTTCTTATCCAAAATGTTTCCTGATGGATCTGGGAATATCCGCATGGAGAGCTTCAATCCGCAGTGGTACCTATTGGAACATCATTCAGAGACACCGTACGTTCATGCTTTTCCTTGAATGAGATGTAACTAATTTGTATTGCATTCCTTTTGCTTCACAATTGTAATATTTTGTCTGTAGATGGCATGTATTAAGCTTGATTCCGTAATTTTTTTAGGATTGAAGAACTTCGTGAAGCTATTGAGAATATGAAGATGGCCAAAGCTGATGAGACCAAGAAAAGTGAGCAAATGCACAAGGTAGAGTTGGTGAAAGGGCTGTTAAGTTTAGTTTCATCCCATTTAAAACTTCTCACATTAGAAATTAAAATGGACAATGCACGGTTCTACTGCTTCAGGCTAACTTGTACTCTCTTATCAACTGTGTTGACTCTTTGGCAGCATTGCATGATGAGTTAGAGAGAAGTAACAAAGCCGGGGAATTTGCTGTGATAAAACAAATAGGAAATCAGGTATCATTTATCAAACTTCTCTTCTCTGGCTTCCTTCCATACAAGAAATACTCAATTTTTCCTCTACTTGTTACTTGTTTAATTGTATGCTGACTGCTTGTGCAATGCATTCGAATCGTTTTCCAGATTTCTGAGGCAAGAGTGAAGGCAGAAAGCGTTTTCAAAGATGTTCTTTCTCGAAAAGATCGAGCAGATGCTACAAGAAATGCGCTATCTGTACTAACCCGTTTCAAATTCATATTTTTCCTTTCTAAAACGATTGATGACAATATGAAGAAGGTATCAATTTTATTCCATCAAGTTTTGTCATATATATCAAAGTTGTGTGAGTAATGAAATATTAAGGGCGAGTACCTAACGATTCTCAACGATTACATGAGGGCGAAATCCTTATACAAAGATACGGAAGTCGCCTTGTTCAAAGAAGGTATGTCAGGCTTTATGCTTTATTGATTATACGATATCAGAATTTTTCCGAGTTTTTTTTT